ACCAGCCAGGGATCTCTGCCCTTTGGGTTGCCCACCGCTCAGCGGTGTCCCTTTTGTAGACCAGGGCTACTCCTAGGATGTTGCTTCTGCTTAGCTTTCTCCAAAGGGGAGGGGACCTCAAGTGGCACCCCTGGGCTGCTCCTCAGGGCCTGACCCAAGCAAGGACAGACTCATCCAATAACAAGCTGAGAGCAAACGTGGCTTTGGGGGACAGAGCTCAGTGGCAATGAAGCCTCCACCGACCCAGCGCTTGCAACAGAAGCAAAGATCGCCCAGGATTCTGGTTCCCGCTCTCAGCTTCCACAGGATCTGAAAGGGGTCTCAGCAAGAATGAGGCTGTAATTCAGCTGCAACCCAGCATGAGAAAAAAGACACAAGAAACAACCAGGACACATATGGATCTAGCCCTGGAGACAGACATGGAGATAAAATCATCGCACCCCCACCTCCCAGGACCCCTCCCTCTCAGAACATGAGGCAGGTGTCAGAGAGAGCAGCAACCAGGTGTATTTATTTCTGCCTAGATCCGGCAGGCCGGATCAGATACAAAGGCACTGGGGCGCGCAGGCCTCTGCGGCCTGGAGTCAGGCTGCCTGGGTGGTAACTGAGGGGTGTGCCAGGGTGTGTGGGGACTGAAGTGAACCTCACAGGACTGAGAGATGGGCCCGTGGGGCATATGGGGCTTGGCACAGGTGCACAGAAGAGGTTACGGGGTGAGCGTGAGATGGGTGTGCTGGGAACTGGGTGACCTGGGGTAACATGGGCCAGGGCGTGTTGGGGCATGTTGGGCCCTGGCTGCTGACTGAGAAGCCAGCTGGTGCCAAGGGCTGGGAGAACGTAAAGGCCTGTGGGTCGGCAGAACCCATGAAGACACTGCAGACAAGATCAGCCCTGGGAGACCGAAGGCTCCAAGGTGACTCCTATAGCGTGGCGAAGAGGGGCAGTTCTGGAATTCTGCTCAGGAATACATGGTCAGCTGTAGCCACTGGGGAGAGGAAGGCACAGCGTGAGGAGTGGACACCTGTGAGTACCAGTCCCTCCCCCAGGGCTGTCTGGAGAAATGCTAGGGCTTTCTTACCTCCTGGATGTTCACCTGGATTTGTCCAGTGCCATCTTTGTCAAGAGATTTGAAGGCACCTGGAAGAGAAGGGATGGGCTGAGGATAAAAATATACTAATAGATGGGACAACAGTAATCATAGCTAGCACTTCATGAAGTGGTTTTTATGTGTAACTACATTTAACCCAATTCTATGACATTAGTGTCACAGAGAAGTTCAGTGATACACCCCAGGTCACACAGCAAGAAGTAAAGGGACTGAGATTGGAAGCCAGGCGATTACCCACCTCTGAATGCTCTGCATCCCACCCATCCCCCTCTGCCCCACCTCGGACACCCCCCCATACGTACACCACTTTCCCCCTCCTTCCCCGTAGGGAGAGGCTCCACTTGCGGCCCCTGCAGTTCATAGGAGTCCCTCTCCTGCCCCAAAACTCAGCCTTGTGGCCCCTGACAACATGGAATCCAGGCAAACAGATGCCCTCACGGTCCCTGTCTGCTCTCACCACCCAGTCACTACCCTTAGGTGTCCACACATGGGGTCCCTGACACTGCGCGCACTGCAGTGACCACTGGCTCTCTTGCCTGTGAACCCAATGACCATTTTTTGTGCCTTCTCATAGGTGACTTTTGGCCGTCGTCCACGCCTGCTGCACGTCCCTGACCTCGCCAATGCTTGCCCCTCCTCTACCCACCTACTCGATGCTTGGCATCCCTGGGTCTCCAGAGAGCGGCCATCTGGCCCTGCCCACACCTGCAGTGTTCTCAGGCTTAGGTTAAGCTCCCCTGAACCCAGCGTCTGGAGTCCATCGGAGTCCTCCATGGCGAGGCCATGGGCACTGCTCCGCCTCCTCGCATCCCATTCTCTTAAAGATCTAAGTTAAGTTTTGATTTGACAACTTCCTGAAAGTTTTTTTGCCTCCTTGAATCCTACATTCCTCTCCTTAAAATAAGGACATTAATATACACTTCTTAGTGTATTTGGGCCTCCTTGGTGGTGCAAGGAGTTAAGTCAGCTCTGTGAAGCTGTCTGCAGCCACTGCAACACGAGTTTGATTCCTGGCCAGGGAGGTGGCGCACATGGCACAGCAGATCTCTCCTCTCCCATCCCTTGCTCCCCTCAGCAGTGTATTTCAGTGGATCTGCCTGTTCTGCTCCCCACTCTGTCTCTGGTGAATCCTCTCATCCCCCGCCCCTCTAGCCTGTACCCCAGTTTTTGTATGCACAAATAAATCTTTAAAAAATTAATTTAGTATATTAATATTCATAGGAGTCTTCATCATCCCGTTCCACTGACCACACCCAGCCCTGTATCTCCCCATCCATCCCCTTGTCCAAACCCCAAACTGGGTCCAGCAGCAAACAACAAACACCCCATTTTCCCTTCCCTTCTAGGCCCCTGCCCAGGCTGCCCCCTGGCAAGCTTGTCCCCACCCGCTCACCGGGGTCCCACTTCCCCATGTGTCCTACTCCACAAAGCCTTCCTTGACCCCTTAGTTGCATCAGGAGCCTTCTAAGTTCAAATAACCCTGTGCGCTTCCCACCACCACCTGAGCCCACTCTGCCCGGAGCTCCCCCTCCCCACTAGTAATCACTGAACTGTGGGCATCAGGCTCTGCCCTCCTGCACTGAACTGGGGGCACGGTCCGGGCAGAAACTGGAACTGTGACTGCTGCGCCCCTCCTGTCACCCACTCTCGGGTCAGTTTTAGAGGAGGGCCTGGCCGATGGAAGATGACCAGATCCCCACCGAAGAAGGGAGCTGTGGAGTCACTCACGGAACATGGCATCCAGCCTGACCAGGCAGCTGATGAAGTTGTCAAAATCCATATTTCCTGCTTCATCTGAGTAGCGGCGGATGATCATGGTGTAGAGATGCTCATTCAGGCGGAAGCCTAGGAATAGTGTAGTCCTTCAGGAGTGGGCACCACACTGCCCGATTCACTTCCACCCCCAGGGAATCCAGACAGCTCAGTGAGGGCCCCTCTCACCCCGAGCCCCCCATGTCCCTGCCGGCCGCACCTGCTGCCTCAAAGGCCCCTGGGAGTTCACCGCTGCTGATGGTCCCTGAACGGTCAGCATCAAACTGTTTGTATATGGCCTGTGGGGACAGAGAGGCCAGGGCTCCATGGAGCACTGCTAGCAAGCAGACCCAAGGCACAGAGGACCTCATGCTGAGAGTTCAGAAGTCATCACCTACCTGCCACTTTTTGATGTTGTTCCACAAGTACTTGAACTCCTCAAAGCCCAGCTTGCCTGTGGTGTCGCTCTGGCAGGAAGGTGTTAAGAATACTGTGATGGCTGAACTCAGGGCCTCGCTGTGTAGAGGACAGTGACAACGGCCCAGCAGGGGAACCTGAGCTAAACCACCCTCCTGTCCCATCTTAGTGGGTCAACTTTTCTAAATAAGGATTCCCTCTAAACCATTAGGAGTTATCCTGACTTCCCCAAAGTACAGACTCCTCACCTGAACATAACTGCTAGTTCCGCAAGACGCCAGCCCTATGACAGTGTCCCCCATCATAGAAAATGACAGATTCAAAGCTGAAAAAAGCTCTGAGATCATATTAAAGCTAATGCATGGTGGTGGAATTTCATGGGGATTACACTCAAATTGATAAAATATATATTGTATAGAAATGAACAATGATATAAAAAATACATAAAATTAAAAAAAAAGCTAATGCAGGGCCCTCCCTGGTGGCACAGTTGGTTAAAGCACAGCACTAAGCTAACGCCACTTTAGCATGAGTTTGATCCCCAGCCAGGGAAGTGACCCACATGGTGCAGCAGACCTCTCCTGTCTGACCTACCACTCCCCCCAGCAGTGGATTTCAGTGGATCTGCCT